GAGCTAAACATTGCACAAAAAACCGTTTGGAACCATTTAAATGAGGCTGGATTCAAAAAGAAGCTCGATGTGTGGGTGCCACACGAGTTAACGCAAAAAAACATCATGGATCGAATATCCATCTGCGAATCGCTGCTGAATCGCAACAAAATCGATCCATTTCTGAAGCGGATGGTTACTGGTGATGAAAAGTGGGTCAATTACGACAACGCCAAGCGAAAACGATCGTGGCCGATTCGCGATGAGCCGGCGCAAACGGTGGCCAAGCCAGGGTTAACGGTCAAGAAGATTTTGCTGTAAATTTGGTGGGATTGGCAGGAAATTATCTACTATGAGCTGCTCCTCTACGGCAAAACTCTTAATTCGGACCTGTACTGTCAACAATTGAACCGTCTGAAGGAAGCAGTCGCCCAGAAGCGGCCAGCTTTGGCCAATAGGAGAGGAATTGTGTTCCATCAGGATAACTCCAGGCCACACTCATTGATAGTGACTCGCCAGAAGCTCCGGGAGCTTGGTTGGGAGGTTCTTTTGCATCCACCTTATAGTCCGGACCTGGCACCAAGTGATTTCCACCTGTTCCTGTCTGTGGCGAATTTTTTTGCTGGTGAAAAATTCGCCTCAAGAGAAGTTTGTGAAAATCGACTTTCCCAGTTTTTTGCCAATAGGGAGGAGGGTTTCTATGAGAGAGGCATAATGAAATTACCTTCGAAATGGCAACAAGTTATCGAACAAAGCGGTGCATATTTGACCTAAATCGGATCCTTGTATCTATGTTAAATAAGGCCTCCAATTTGATACAAAAATAATGGATTACTTTTTATTAGACCTTATAATTGAGTAATGTGTGGAATTTTTTAAAATATTCGTTGGTATGCAAACTGGGTTTGCGTTCACAAGTTTCACAGTAGAAAACTGTTTGTTTTTTTACTGTATTATTTCCTTTTGGTGAACAAACAAGACATTTTTTCTTTTTCCCTTTCGGCAACTGATTTATTATATGGAGTTTCCTATTTAAACGTTGTTCCTTATCTGTTCCAAAAGGCATGCCATACACATTGTTATTCCGAAAGTTACTTACGAGCTCATTTACTAATAATTTGACAAAATTATAGTGTGACAAAACGTTTTCTNCTTACGAGCTCATTTACTAATAATTTGACAAAATTATAGTGTGACAAAACGCTTTCTCCTTTCCTTTCCTGAGAATCTTGAAAGGCACACTTGGAGTAGAGCGCCGCACATCGGTGGTGCTTGAGAGGCACACTTGGAGCGTTAAAGATTAAATTACAATATATATTTGTGTGTGTGTGTGTGTGTGTGTGTGTGTGTGTGTGCGGCAGTAACTTAAAATGTTCAACATACAGGAATTCAACCACAATTTGATAGGCTATGCTTTGGGAGATTCGTTGACAACTGATGATGCATCGCAACTGAATGTCGCTGAAAGCGGTGCTGCGTCCGATGATATGCTTTATATGGCAAAAGAATTGATCAAAAGAATCAAAAACGACCCTAGGATAGATGTGGAGAATCATTGGAAGGTTTGTTTGTATTCGACAGACTTAGTTATATTTATAAGATGAAAAAGTGGGAATAATGAATAACACATGCTATTGTTTTGTAATCGAACGGATTGCTTTTTTTACAAAACTTTGAATCTCGCTTTCTTCTTTCTAAGCGACAATAAAATTAATACATTTACTGGTTCTTACAAATTTTTCATTAATTTAATAATTTTTCACTCACAATAAGCTGTCGTCTGATTGTATATATCGAAAATAAGGCGTAATCAATTAATAACACTAGTCAACAAGTAAATTTTTCTAGTAACATAATCCAAATATAATGTTTCTTAATAATATTTGTTCACTGAATATAAAAATATCAAAACTCTATAGCATGTACAACTTTTTTGTTATTGAAATATTTAATAGGACCTCATTTTTAATATAAGTATCTACTTTATTTTCCTCCAGTTACTTTTCATCGTAAGGTGGTTTTAAAATATACGTTTTCGCATCATTATTATATCGCGAGATGGTTTAAGAATTTTCTTTCTCACGTCACTTTTACATCTCGAGATGGGTCCACAGGTTTCATATCACTTTTACATCACAAGTTGGGTTTAGTCGCAGCAGCATTTCTATATAAAAATTACAATATTTTGAATATCACACATGAAAAACAAAGTTAACAGGAAAACACAAAATGTAGATTTTGTCACTAAAACCTTATTGACCGGTGTAATTAGTTTCTGGCAATTAAATGTTAATAACAACAATCTGGTTTGCAGTTAATATCAATAATGATCGGAGTTAACGACTTTTGCACCAATATATGTTGGAATTCTTCACCTTCGTCAATTCTCGATAAACACAAAGCAGATTTAATTCAAGTTTTGACGACATTGAGAGAAAATTTGCCACGAACTTTGATATCGTTGATTCCGCCACAACATATGAAAACTTTAGTTGTCAGTCGTAAGGGTAGACCATCTTTTACATGTGACCTTATGACGAATATCGAATGTTCTTGTATGTTTGGCCTTAAATATCAAAGTTTTATACCAAAATATTATAATATCATGAGACGGTAAGTATTTAACTATACAAATAATACTTTTATTAAATAAATTCTTTGAAAAATTCTCTGAATATTTCAATCTTTTAATTTTTAATTCATTTTTTATTTATTTCAAAAATGATAGCAAAATATATATACATGCATCATAGCAAAAGATATATACATGCATCAATTAAAAAATTTAATTACGTTTCAGGTGGCAAGAGTTGGACATGGAAATCTCTNCGAATATCGAATGTTCTTGTATGTTTGGCCTTAGATATCAAAGTTTTATACCAGAATATTATAATATCATGAGACGGTAAGTATTTAACTATACAAATAATACTTTTATTAAATAAATTCTTTGAAAAATTCTCTGAATATTTCAATCTTTTAATTTTTAATTCATTTTTTATTTATTTCAAAAATGATAGCAAAATATATATACATGCATCATAGCAAAAGATATATACATGCATCAATTAAAAAATTTAATTACGTTTCAGGTGGCAAGAGTTGGACATGGAAATCTCTATTTATCCTGAATTCCAGAGGGACGATTTTGCAGTCATAACTCAGGCTATTACATTAGATTTAAGCATACCACTCGCTTCTGATAAGTATGCCGATACGACATATTTCACCATAGATTGTTTTCACTACAGTCAGAAAACTAACGCTCGAAGTAAATTCCATTTCTTTACTTAGGAAATGTGGAAAATTGTATTTAACTACTAGAAATCCTTTAACTAGATTTTGAACAAATAAGTTATCAACGTTTTTTTCATAGTTGCAAACGGTTTGTGGAATAACTTATTGGAACCAGTTGGCGTTAAAACGAAATCCTGGCAAGATCTTTTTGAGAGGTTTCTGTGTCCAACTTCGGAAAGGCCTTACTTGGCCACATTGCAAAATTCTTCGCCGAGGGAGAAAGAGGAATAAATCGTCGCAAATCCGGTTTGGAATTTTTTTGAAAGCATCACATCAGATACAATTGAGTGACAGTTTAGTGCTTGAATGAGTGTTTAATAACTTACATATTGTTTGTGTGAAAAAATTTAAAAACTACCACAACTCAAGTAAACCAGTATTTATTAGCACTTCTACTGAAATTATAGTGGGATTGAATAGTGCGATAGATTTAATTACAATGGAAAGCTCTTCAAAATTTTTAACAAGGAATTGTACGGCATCAAGTTGATTCCTTGATTGTAAAATGCGGAATTACAGATCATTGGTGAACAAGGTATATGTTATATATATTGTTACGCCAGTGTCTTGATGCCTGCGCCTTTAGCGCTCTGAACATACAGCAGATTCTCTTAGCAACGAGTCGTAAACAA